TTATCTTTGTACTTGTTTGAGATAAAATAAAGTCCATACTCTCAGTTTTTTCTTGGACCTCATTAAGCTTTTCATTTGATTTTTTGTCCATGTCATGTAGATATATCCAAATCTTATTTATAGTTATATGCTAACTATATTGCTGTAGGCTTAATGTGACTATTTAATAAATCACTCATACGTTACCTTTTTAATGATAAACATTGCTCGGCAATGGTACCGGCTTTGAAGGCAAGCAATTCAAATTTGATTTTAAGAAAATTGATTTTCGTAATATCAAAAACAGTTTTGCATCGCAAAATCTGCAATAGAATGACGAAAATAAGCTGTGTTTACTGTTAACCACGATTCTTTGTAAAATTTCAATGAAGCATAATTCGATTTAGTTGAAGAAATTCTGTTTTTCTTACCTCTTCTAATAAAAAGCGATTGTCATTAGTAAAGTCAAACCAATAAGCTATTAAACTTGCGCTCAAATTAAATCATAGATACAGTACTAATTGATAAACATACAAAAATGTTCGGACAAATATATATTTCTACCAATTGTCATAGGATATTAAAACTATGGAATGTAGAATTATTTTATTTATAGCTTTAGTTATTTAAACTATTTCAATAATGTTGAAACGTTTTCGTCATAAATGCAGCAAATTAAAGAATCCGTTAGTACTGAAAACTGGGCTAAACTTTTTCCCTATACACCGTGAACAAACGAAAAACAAATAAAGGAAAAATACGTGTACATGTATATCAAAGTTTAGTTTTGATGACCAGAGTGTCTATTGATTAAGCAGTTTAAAAGTTAAGAGGTTTTTGTGTATCATAAAGTACAGTTTTGATTACGCTAAAAGTTTTTTGTTTGACCAAGATGAATTGACCTGGACAAGCTTCCTCTAATTAGAAACAATCAATAGAATAGACGGTCAGTCAATAAAACTTTTTAAAACTACAGAGAACAGGATTGATTAAAACTCTAATATCAAAATATTATTTTTGCAATATTAACGTCCCAATTAAACATTTTTGTTTTAAATAAGTGTCTGATAACCACCGTGTAATATTTTCATTAATTGCATCTACAGCTACTTTATAACATAGGATAATATAGGATCAAATTTTATGATTCTGTTGAGGACAATAAATATTTATACCTTGAAATATATTAGGATTCAAAATTACTACAAATTGTATAAAGATACGAGTATTGAACACAAATCCTAAGTTACCGGACAAATCAATCTAATTAATGTTCATAGTGATTTTCATATATACTTTAAACAGAATATGCTCTTTCAGTTAAAAAGTTCATACCAGAATTGAAACAGAAAAATTGTCGTTTTTTCAGCTTTTGATACTGAACATATTTGACATGCAATGGACTACCTTTCAATTTTTAAAACCCTGTTCTTTTGGTTTACAGGTAAGATAACAAAATATTGATTTCTTTGTCATAAAATGAATTTCGTTGTTTTCTTTGTCATAAAATGAATTGCATTTCATTTCTTTTTACCTGTTTGTCATATTTTTGTTTAAATTTTCACAAACTTTTATCTGTTTCAGTTGTATCTGCATATTCCGTTGACGACGAGAGTAGATTACAGACTGACCTTTTAACAGGCTACAGTACAAACGTCCGTCCGTCCGACAAAGTTATCTTACTTTGTTCTCTTGATATAAGAAATGTCCTTGCATTGGTAATTATAAAATTATAAATACAATAATCTTGACGTTATACAAACTTTTACAACAAAAAAAACAACAACAACAACAAAAAACTGTTGAATATTAAATTGGTTTGTGGCGGCTAAGCTGATAAATTTAGTCAAATACATTATAAATTGTATGATTTTAATCTAGTAACTACAAGAATAAAGTTTAAAAAAGTATCGTAAGATTTTATTGTCGACTAAATTTATACTTTGCACTAGAAATAAACACCAATTAAGAGCCATGTATATTTAAAATTGTATTTACTATGCTTGCATAGAATGGCAGGCAATATGCACAGCTTTAAATAGGAACACATTTTCATTGTTTTTTAAAACATTTGCGGTGATGATTTATGTTTTTTCTTTGTAAATCATTTTATAACATACATTTATATTTGTTTTACTAGAATATTGTTGATCAAACGTTGGCAATTACAGGATCACTGGGGCTAGTAAGTTGATTCCTATGCATAACATGATTAATTAATCAATAAGAATGACAATGAACTTTTACTATATTTTGCCATGTATTATAATTAGTCCTGTGTTTACGAAAAGCCGCGAATTAAAGTCTTTAAGTAGATGATACAATATATTCACGTATTTACATGCATATGTTTATGATACAGTATATTCACGTATTGTACATGTGTATTTTTATGATACAATATATTCACGTATTGTACATGTGTATGTTTATGATACAATATATTCACGTATTGAACATGTGTATGTTTATGATACAATATATTCACGTATTGTACATGTGTATGTTTATGATACAATATATTCACGTATTGCACATGTGTATGTTTATGATACAATATATTCACGTATTGCACATGTGTATGTTTATGATACAATATATTCACGTATTGAACATGTGTATGTTTATGATACAATATATTCACGTATTGAACATGTGTATGTTTATGGTACAATATATTCACGTATTGAACATGTGTATGTTTATGATACAATATATTCACGTATTGAACTAGTGTATGTTTATGATACAATATATTCACGTATTGTACATGTGTATGTTTATGATACAATATATTCACGTATTGTACATGTGTATTTTTGTGATACAATATATTCACGTATTGTACATGTGTATGTTTATGATACAATATATTCACGTATTGAACATGTGTATGTTTATGATACAATATATTCACGTATTGTACATGTGTATGTTTATGATACAATATATTCACGTATTGTACATGTGTATTTTTATGATACAATATATTCACGTATTGAACATGTGTATGTTTATGATACAATATATTCACGTATTGTACATGTGTATTTTTATGATACAAATGTTCACGTATTGTACATGTGTATGTTTATGATACAATATATTCACGTATTGTACATGTATATTTTTATGATACAATATATTCACGTATTGTACATGTGTATTTTTATGATACAATATATTCACGTATTGAACATGTGTATGTTTATGATACAATATATTCACGTATTGTACATGTGTATTTTTATGATACAATATATTCACGTATTGAACATGTGTATGTTTATGATACAATATATTCACGTATTTTACATGTGTATGTTTATGATACAATATATTCACGTATTGAACATGTGTATGTTTATGATACAATATATTCACGTATTTTACATGTGTATGTTTATGATACAATATATTCACGTATTGCACATGTGTATTTTTATGATACAATATATTCACGTATTGAACATGTGTATGTTTATGATACAATATATTCACGTATTTTACATGTGTATGTTTATGATACAATATATTCACGTATTGAACATGTGTATGTTTATGATACAATATATTCACGTATTTTACATGTGTATGTTTATGATACAATATATTCACGTATTGTACATGTGTATGTTTATGATACAATATATTCACGTATTGTACATGTGTATGTTTATCAGGTCTGGCAGGATTCTCGTCTATCATGGAACATTTCGCATTACGGAAATGTATCGGGCGTGTATTACAAGCCGGATCAAATATGGAGACCTACTCTAGTATTGCAAAACTCGTAAGTATCGTCATAGTTCAACATAGATGACAGCTTTAAAGTCATTCCACTCAGGTAATTGGACATGACGGGACTGAAAATATTTTTTCCAGATAAATGTACCATTTGATGCAGGTTTAGACAACTAATATTTGTTCAAAATTTCAGATCATTCGGACACTTCGTTTCCAGAATAATTATTCAAATTGTAAAAAAATGACCTAAAATGAAAAGCGTTTAAACGTTTGTCACTAAAATCGGGATAAGAAAATAAAAAAAATACGATTTTCAATTTATTTTTAAGTAAATTTCTTAACTACCATTGCATATATTTCTGTTTGAAGTGCCCCAACTCATTTATATATAATGTTTTCAGGCTTTTAAACCTCAGTGGAGTCCTTTTAATTATTACATCAATTATTATTAAATTTTTACGTTGGTGAACTTGATGAAATTCACAAACTTGCGTAATATTGCTTGACAAATGGCCAACATACAAACTTATTTATAACTCTTGAATATCACGGGAATATTAATGCCACTGATGATATACAATTGCTTTTAAACCTGTTAACTAAATCTAAATCTTTATTGAATTAATCAACAAATGTGCACCCTGGACAATATTGTATTGTTGTTTCCTTTTTTTTCGGACTTGAGATGGATAAGAAAAGAATTTGTAGTGTGATAACATGTCAATTATCTTATTATAACATGTAAACACCTTTGACACACTGTGAAAGAGCAACATCAAAAATATATGAAGAGTTTATATAAATATGATTTAATTGACACATATAACTTTTATCAGTGACTTCATTATTATCAAATTTTGTTTTTCTTTAATTATTTCTTTTAGTTTGACAGGAATAGAGATTATTGGTGATAACGGAAATATTTCTTCCATTATATCAATAGTCTGACAGAATTAGAGGTTATTCGAGATAATGGAAATATTTTTTGTCATTAAAGTGTGACTTGACTAGGGGGCGTGGACGATAACTTGCACTTTCCAGTACCGTCCATGAACAGGCTCAATCAAACCGAGCCTGCAACATTTTCAATTTTGTCGTGTTGGGCTTTCTTTAGGGATTCTGTATTTCTCTATTTTTGAATAGAGGAAATCGATGATAATGGAAACATTTCTTCCATGATAGTGTGACAGGAATAGAGGTTATAGGTAATAATGGAAATACATTTTTCCATTATAGCGTTACAGGAATAGAGGTTATAGGTGATAACCGAAATCAGAAGAGTATTCCGATCACTGTAAATGATAAAGGTTCAGTGTTCTGGTTGGCCCCGGCTTACTTTGTCTCATACTGTTCAGTCCAAGTATCAAAGTTTCCATTTGATACACAAACATGCGAGATTGTCGTAAGTGTGAATACATGTATTATTATTTCTTTTCTAATTCGCTCGGCTGATACAGGAATGGATCATTTATCACCAAAGCTTCAGTCAAAGAATAAACAACAACACTAAGTAAGGATAAAGGCCTCAGCATTGTTTCACTATTGTTGTATACCAATTAATACAGATAATATCAAGGGGAGCTGTGGCCTAGTGGTTAAGGTGGCTGTCTCTGTGCACAGGCACGAGTATCGGACCTGGGAAGAAAATATGACCACATTGATAAAAAACCTCTGTGTTCATCTTAAATATGTCAAATAAAAGATTCGAGTCTACGAGCAAAGGGTTCATTTCCCGGGACGTTGTGAAAACAATTGTCCAGATAATTAATTTTTTTCACTATTTCACGTTTGTATTAAGCGTCCAACCAAGTCTCTAGCCCTTCCCGTTCATGAAATATTTATCAGCAAACGAGCGCATTCGTGCTGAAACTCTCAGATAGACATAAAAGTGGCACAACAATTCGGTACGTTAACATAGACTAATACATGTTTGTCAGCCGAGTACGGGTCCAAATTACTTGAATTTACTAAATAATATTACTAAATACATTAAATTGGACCACTCACAACCGTCAGTATCATCTGATACACGCGAAATTCGAGTTTCAAACCTTGTCACGGTCTTCCGATCCCTTTCTTTTCTTTTTTAAGGAGTCGTCTGATTGGCCAACGTTTCGCCAAAGGATGCCTTATGGCGTAGAAAGCAATCGAAAGGCCTGTTCAATAAAAAAAAACAAGATTTTTGCAGCTAGGGTCTCAATCTATTTCATGTTTTACTTCTTTCTATTAACAGGAAAAATAATCATGATTTAGGCAATCTTAGCACAGTATGAACCAGGTTAGTGCTTTAAACACATAAATTCCGAAAAGTATCGGTGAAAAATGATTGCCTAATCAACAACCTTTCTTTGAATTTTTTAAGATTTCAGGATGGATGCTCACTAAAGACATCGTCAAACTAGCTGTTCTTGGTGATGAAATTACATTTAGACAATATGAAGAGAACGGTGAATACGAAAAAATTAGGTCATATATACGTGTTATCAGCGTTTCAATGCATCATTCGGAGGTTGAATATCTTGTGTTTGGGTTAGAGCTTAAGCGAAAGTATTCCTACTACTTGGTGAACATCGTACTTCCGGTATTCTTCATACAGTTACTTGGTATAGTTGTTTTTGCTGTACCGACGGATTCCGGTGAAAAGCTGACATTTTCTCTGACATTGTTGTTGTCATTGACGGTGATGATGACATTGATAGCGGACAAAATACCCTCAACGTCGTTACAGATACCCATGTTAAGTACGTGCCCTATATTTTATCAAGAAATGACTTTCCTAGGGAAATCCTAACCTAAGTTATCACTTTATTTCTACCTGAAGTGTAACATTTCATTTCGTTCAATAAAAACCTTTTGTTTCATAAAATGCAATGATACGAATATTTGTTGATTCTTCTTTTTTAAATAATTTATGATATGCAATAGTTTGATTTCAACATATGATGATATCATTTTTGATATCCGACCTGTGTTACAGGCAAGTACCTACTCGGTGGGTTAGTCATCAGCAGCTTAGAGCTTATAGTGACTGTGATAATTCTTCATTTCAAACACTCGAAGGTCAAAGATGTAAACATGTCTAGAAGAATGCAAGCCTTTGCAAACGGACTTGCATCCATAACCTTCAACAGGAAAAGAGGATGTACAAGGTATGTATACGTTACCCCCTCCCCTATAGTTACGGCACTTTATATCTGTTCTAAAATACATACACGATAGTTTTAACATCATAGTAATATTTATATAATTAACATATCAGTTATCTTCTACATGTCCAAATAGTGTTCTCTTTATGTTTACTTTACCCCTATAGTTTCAGTAATTTCTATTTGCTCTTACATACATGTACAGAATTGCTTTAACAACATTTATACAGGTAACATATCAGTTATCTTCTTCATGTCCAAATATTGTCTTCTTTCAAGACAAAAATTCTTGTGTTTTTTGATTCTTATTTATTAATCTTCTTACAATATTTATATTTTATTATTTATATATACTCGTATACGTATAAAAATTGTACGTTTACATTCAGACAACCAAAGGTCCTTACAACAGATTCGGATATCAAGCCGACACTTGTGTTCAGAAGAATTTTGACAGGAGAAAGTCAAATTGATATCAAGCCGACACTGTGTTAGAAGAATTTTACAGGAGAAAGTCACTGATAATGAGAGGAAATTGAAAAAGACTGTCACTATACATATGAAGACATTTCTACAATGATTGAAAAGTTGTCCTTGTTTGTTTTCACCTTAATTACATTTGTGTTTCACTCTTACAGTGTCAATGATGATCTTTATATTGATTTCTTCTAAAACCTGGACCCTTTCAGGCTTGACTTGACTCTTATATATGATAGATAAAAAATCTTGAAATGTATCTACATTAATCGTTATATTACTTGAGAGGAAAATCTTCTGTACTTTGTTAAAATGTTGTTATCGTTATTTTGTGTTACATTTTTAGAATTTGATTATTAAGTAAAAAGAAAACAATGACACTTTGGGTTTGATTACTGTTTGTGTCAAGTTTAATTATTGTCAGATTATTTCAGATTTCATGATCACTACAAACATGTATTTATAAACAGTGGAAATATTGAAACAGTCCGAGCAACATACCACATGTGTCCTGCTAAATTCATACTACTTTAGCAAGTCGCAAAACAAAACACTGCCTTTTTTATAGTCTAAGCAAAAGTACCGGTTAAAAAAAAATTACAAGCGACGTCGAGCGACAGTGACGTCAAATAAACGTCAAGATGTTAACGACAGTATGGCAAGGTACGTCAGCTATAGACTTCGTCCGGCATTTCTATTGCCAAAAAATAGACAATAATCGGCCGGCAAGAACGGATTTCAGCAAACTGGGAGCTTCACTGATACGCAAAGATCTGTATGTCACGACGTAACAGATCTCTGTCAAGCTGTCCAGTTTAGTCCGGCTTATGTTGAATGCTACCGGGACTAGGTTATATCACACTGTAAACTTACTAAGGAACAGGCGCCAATTGGTTAGGACCCATCGTCACTGGAAACGCAGAATATGGAACGATGTCATTTTTAGGACAAATCTTGTTTTGATGTGTCCTTTGCTCACGACATATTTCATGTTTGGAGAAGAAGGGTCGAAAGGATCGCCCCGATAACATAGTCCAACGAGACCAATATGGCGGTTACAGTCACATTGTCTAGGCTGGAACATACCATGATTTGCCTGGCCTGCAAGATCACCGCTTCTGTCTCCAATAGATGCTATCCGGAATTCGGCAAATCTGGGGATTTCCCAGCTAATCTGTACAAACAAACTTTTACATTTGTAGCTTTATGGTGCATTAGTCAACCTGTTGAGCTTATTTTCGAAGCTGTAGCTTTTTTTTACCTACGGATAAGCTGGGGGATAAAGCTTAAATATTCTGCATTTCGGAGTGTAGTGTTGTTAGTATTTAGAGATTAGCTCCGCCTACTTGATTAAATATGCACATTTTGAGGACTCTCTCTGAGCCCTCTTTGATAAACACTTTACATTATACATGCAATATAGCAAGACTCCTGTTAATACTTCTGTAAATAAATATTAGAATAGTCTATGATATTCAGTTTTCAATACAGTACAATATCGACGACGATTAAAAAGAAATAAATGGATTTATATAAGTAAAATTGTTTTACAAGAATTAATCAAATGCAGTGAACACTGGATAATTTACACCTCTTGAATTTAAAGTTTAAGACACTTTATCTGGATTTTATTTTTGGCAACTTATGTCCTTATCAATAACACTGATACAGTGACAATATGGCTCAAGGATTACCAGTTTTTCCAGAATTTAGTGTAAATGAACCAGACGTTGATAACAGATGGAGAAAATGGACTGGCAAATTCAAAAATCTCATGTTAGGCATGGACATGCAAAGACAAAAAACGTCAGAGAGCACGTTTTCTTCACTATGCTGGGGAAGAAGTAAATGATATTTTTAAAACTTTTCATAATACTGGGGATGAGGTCGAAACTGCTTAAACAAAACTTACGGCATATTTTGCTCCACAGAAAAACACCGAATATTTGAAATCTATAAATTTCCACAGAAGAAGCAGGGAATGGAAGAAAACATTGACAGTTTTTCACACACCGACTGAGACAACTGAGCACGAACTGTTGAATTTGCAAACACAGATAAGGAAATTTCAAATCGCAAATTATTCAAGGTTACAGGTCAACATAGCTTTCGACACAAAAAGAACTACGCCAAGATCTTACATTGGACAGTCTCGTCAAAAAAGCCAGGACATTAAAATTTGTCAGATTTACAAGTATCTGAAATTGAAAGTAAAAAAAAACAGGATTCTATAAATGTCATGAAAAACACGACAAAGAGGAAACAAACGCAACAGAAAACTGAAACGTTGATCACCCCAAGAAAAACAAAAATGCAGATACTTGTGGGATATGAATATCCTCATAAATCCGGAAAATGCCCAGAAATGGTAAGACATGCACCTTTTTGCTCAGAGGAAAAAAACATTTTGAAGCAGTCTGCCTCTCAAAGAAAAAAGACAGAAGTTTCACATTTAATCTAAACGATAGCTCACAAAGTGAAAGTAATAAGGACAAAGAAAGTGAAGAAAATTAAATATATGGACTATCTGTCAATTCTATGCAATTACAAAGACCAAAGCTGAAAGTGCATATCAACGCCTGTAAAAGTAAAGCATTAATTGATACAGGATCATCAATAAATGTAATTGACGAAAAACACGTACACTTAACAAATCTTATAAGTGTGCATGTATAAATGATTTCATAGATGTATCAATATTTCCATGATTAATCTGAAATTTTCAATAAATACATTAAAAGAGACATGTTATTATTTTTATTAAGTATGTTTTATTCAAGATACAAATTCAAGATTTAATTTCTATGTGAATGCGTGTCGAAAGTCGATGTTGCAGATGATGTCCTAATACCGTATGTGCCCACCATGACTGTGTATTACAGCCTAGTAGCGTCGTCACATCGATTGTTACATACCGTTGTAGATAATTTTTTGGGGGTTGGTGAGGAAGGTACCATAGATGTTGCTCTGTACTTAATGATTAGCCTTCTTAGGTACTTTGGTGTACACCCATACCGGGCGCAACCTACAAATGATACAGACAATAATTACCTAATAAAAATATGCATATTGTGTTCGTCTTTTGATAGAAACTGAATTTAAAAGATTTTCGGCTTTTTACAATGCAAAGGAATGAAAATAATCATTTAAACAAATTAAAGTTTTGTTACCAAACCTCTGTTTGGTGTACACCAGCGTTGACCAATCCTAGGGCTATGTCACGCTATTGTATAGCTAATCTACCCATGAGGTGTTTTTTCTGATATGTGGATCTCTTTCGTATCCGAGAATATCATGTGCAATCTTATTCACCCATTCTCACATTTTCGTGCATTGTGTTCATGGTTGAAACGCACCTCATAATTAAAATTGGACATGCTTGAGCACATGAAATGTGTGGAAAATGCAGCCAATAGTCAGAACACAAAATTTTGTAAAAATATATTGATAAACGAAGAAGTTATAAGGACATAAAAGGTGCACACTTATAAGATATGTTAAGTGTACTCAAAGCTTCAAAAAAAGTTTATCTTAAGAGAATATATACTAAAGTCTATGCATATGGTGCTAGTAAAGTTTCCTTATTAGGCAAGTTCCAAGCACAAATTGAATCTAAAAAACAAAACAACAACAGCTCCAGTATATGTGACAAAGGGCAGCAGCGGTAAATCTTCTCTCTTATCAGACATCTGTTAACCTCCAAAGCATTCCAGAAATAAACACAGTCACAGACAGCAAGGTCAATGAACTCTGCAAAAAGTACCAAACCGTGGTCACATGCATGGGGAAAATGAAAACAACAAAAGTCAAACTATATGTGGATAAAAATGTTCAACCTGTTACGCAACCACATAGACGAATGCCTTTCCACTTAAAAAAACAAGTTGAAAATGAGCTCCAGAGGCTTGAAGACCCAGATATTATTGAAAAGTTTACGGGTCCCACAGACTGGGGAACACCCGTTGTAGTAGCTCCGAAGCCAAAAACCAACCAAATAAGATATGTGTCGATTATGAGGCTACCGAATCAAAAGCCATTAAAAGACTCAAGACATATAATTCCAACAATTGATGACTGATGTGGGACTTAAGTGGTGCCGAAGGTTTTCTTCTTTAATTAGATTTAAATCATAGATATCACCAATTAGAACTGTCAGAGAATCACGCAACATTGCAACATTTACAACAAATGTTGGGATTAAGACGAATATAAACGACTCAGTTCGGAAATCAATAATGCAGCAGAAATATTTCAAAAATGCTTTAAGTACGGCTCTAGAAGGTCTAAACGATGGCGCGTGTAAAAACATTTTCGATGATTTAATTATATGGGCTTGCAAACCAAGCGGAACATGGACAGAAGACTTGAGGCAGTGTTTAAAAGCGACTGAGCAGAAAAACTTAACTTTGAAAAAAAGCAAAATGGAGTTTTAATATGCAAAAAACCCTTGAATTCTTTGGGTCACATTTTCATAAAATTTGGAAATTAGCAGGACCCTAAAAAAATTGAAACAATTTAACAAAAGACACAGCCTCCAAAAACCAGTCTTCAAAGTCAGGGAAGTTTTCCTAAGCAATGACAAATTACGGTTACTCTTTATCACAAAATTACAGGCACTATAGCCAGAGCCCAAACTTCCTTATGAAAGAAAAAATGCAAAAGAATTTGGCCAAAATGGAACCCAAGCACGAAGCATTTTCAAAACTGAAAATATATTTTAGCAGGATACAGTCATGAACATACTTTTATCCTAATAAAAAAACCAAATTATCCACACACATATGAATTCCAGTGGGCGTGGCTGCCCAATTACTTCAAAAAGGTTTAAAGTTGTTTTATCAAAGTAGAATCCCTGACAAGTTGAAGAAGCTCTTTACAGTCAACAAGAAAAAAAAAAAACTTTAGATTTTGTTTTGTCATTAAACATTTGTCATAACTGATGCAAAATTCCCTTTGAAGAATATCTTACAATAATTTTTAAATCAAAACATTGTATCGTGCAACACTTGGAAACGTTT